TAGAAATTGATCAAGAACAACTTTTATCAAAGTAATTTTTCTTTTTATAGAAAATAAAAAAATAAAAAAAAACCTTTTCTTGTTTTTTTAAATATATTTGTTTTAGTGAAAATAAAATATTTGGACAATTTCAAGGTCCAATATGTATTCTTCCATCAACATTTAATAATATCTGATGGTTGATTAAGAGAAATTTTTTTATTTGGTGTTCCAAATTTATTTGTTGAAGATGATCCAACGGAAAATGTATGAACATGTTCGATTCCAACTTGTTTTAATGTTTGAACTTTATAAAGATGACATTCAGACGATGATGGAATTGTATAAACAATAATAAAATTATTTGAATTTAACCAAACAAAATCTATTAGTGAACAAGTTATTGTTAGTGAAGATGATATTATTGGTGGAACACGAATTATTGAACATTGACAAGATTCTAAAATTATTCAAATAAATAATATGATATTTGCTTTTTTTTTTGTTTTTGTTTAATTAAAACCTTTTGAAGGTGAATTGTTACTGATCTGTATATTTGATTTTGGTAAATAAACAAGATAAGCTATTTTATCTGCTAAAAGAGCCAAAATAGTTTCATCTTCATTAAGAATTAATCTTCGAATAGGCCATGTTGGAGATGATGATAGATGAAGACGATCACTTGATATATCATTTAAATTATTTATTTTTATTGGAGAATGAACGACAAGACAATGATTTATAGAATCATAACCATAAAGAGATGATTTACCAAATGTGAATACATCAATATTAGACCATAGAAGAGGAATTCGTATTGAGCTTGGTAATGACATCTTTAATTTCAATCAATTTCAATTCTTAAATAAAAAAAAGTTTAATTTCACAAAAAAACGGAAAGGTAAAACAAGGAAAACAGATAATGACTAATATAATCTTTATTCGACAAGTAATAAAAACATTTTTCAACAGATGCCGTTATATTACTTTTCTATTTCATTGTTAGGTCCTTTACCCGTTTTCTTTATTATTCTTATCCCTTTCTTTTAAAACCAAACAAGCGAATGAATCAAAAACAAAAAAAGCAGCAAAGAATGTGATTCTCTCTTTCTCTCTTCTTCCATGATATATCTTCTTGTTTATTTTCAGAACAAAGAGATATCATGGAGGGACGAGAATAAATGCCATTAACGAGAGCAGTGATATTATAGAGAGAGCCCTCTTATGTCAGGAGATGTCTCTCCTGGCATAACACTCATGTTCATATTTAGCTGAATATAAGATCTCTCTGAAAATGAAGGATCGAATCTTTGTTGAATGGCTCGAATTGCTCTATCATAAAGGAAAACAATTGAAGAAAGAGTTTCTCTAAACCCAAGTTTATCATTACGACCGTCGAAAACAACGCTTCATCTGGCCTGAAATGGCTATAAAACGGCCATCGTTCCTCCCAGGTTTTGCTTCTGTAATCTGATATGACGGATTATGGCGCTGTTTTTCGACGCTTTACGTCGTTATTACGACACCGTTTTCTTGCACCTGGAAAGATAGTTTGTGGTAAACAATGCAAGCTTTATTATTATTTTTTGTTCTTATTATTGGGTATTATACTTTTCTGATTATTTATTGTGATCAAACAAATGAAGAAAACTATCAAACATCATTCCAAAAAGGGATGCTAAATCAGAAAGATTGTATTGAATATTATTTAACATCATTATTCGATTATCTGAGAATGTGAGTGTGCGTGTAGATTTCCCTCTTCCCACCTATCCACACGCCACATCCGCATTAGAGACCTACGAAATGGTCACGGTCACGCGTGACCGTGACTAAAAGAACTTGATCACGCAGTTCTTTATATGTATCAAAAACGAATATCATAAGATTTAAATCGATTTTTATAAGCCAACCTTGTTTTATCAAAAATCCATAATTTCGATAATCGTCAGTAGACTTCCAAAGTCAATCATTTCGAAGAACGAATACCGCAGAAATCGGCACGAAATATGGGGAAGCCACTGTATCCTGCAGAAAACCTGGAAAAGTGTAGAAATATTGGAAGCAGTCTTCCGGTCCAGAGTTTTTCGGATTTTTCCGATCAGTTGTAGCTAGAAAGTGCAGGGAGGCAGATTCAAATCTTTCGAAAGAGTCCAGCAATTTTCTGGTTCAAATACTGCTCCATGCTTCAGCGATTTTCGTTGTGCTCCTGTGAGAAACTGTCCGTAATTTTCGACCTCGGATCGTTATTTACTGAGATCTTTTAGTGTCTATGACTGTAACTGTTACAGAATCCATAAATGCCTGACAGATATGATCGTGACCGTGATCGTAGCAACTTTGGAAAAATTTTTGTGACCGTGATCGTGACTAGCTTCAAAAAACTTCCGTGACCGTAATCGTGATTGGATTTAAAAAATTACCGTGAGCGTGACTAAAAAACCTGGCCACGCAGGTCTCTAATCAACATCCATTCCCACAGCCTCACCCACACCCACACCCACACCCGTTTAAATTTTTCAAAATGAGTGTTTATAAACATAGTTTTGAATATCGCTTACCTGACAACAAGAGTTTCTATGTATTATTGAAGATAATAGTTTTAACACTCTCAATTGTGCTTATCTATTATTTCTTGTTTCTCCTCACTTTATACGTCTTCATTACTTTTTATTTCTTGTCCTTGAAATATTATGACGTCGCTCCGCTAACTGTGTACATAAGCATGTGCTTTGTATGCCAACAAGGCGATTCATGATAAGAAGAAACCAAATAAAGTGTAATGCCATCAGCACCAGGCCTTCTATCAAACAATCGCTACAAAGGTGTTCATCTCTCGATGAAAGCTATTCAGTTACATGTTGCAAATGGTTTCGACAAAAATTTATTATTCAAGTCTAACTTCAACAAAATTTACTGTCGAAGTTACAACTTCGAGACGACATATTCATAAAACACGCTGCTTCTTGATTATTAACTGAAGAAAAGAAAAGCTTGTTAGCGCAGCTCCTCCGGAGCTAAAATGTGGAACTCACGTATACTCTTGTATCTTTCTGAAGTAATGCATCATGTATAATATGAAACACTTCGCCTAAGCTGTAATTATATT